CATCATATACTGTGTTTTTGTCGCTCGAATGAATTTTATTATTTCTTCAAGGTTCTTCACATACATACACTTTAAGAGATATCAAGTAGGCATAACATGTTCTCAAAAAATTAGGGTTGGCACGCAGAAGAATTTTGAGTCAGAGATTTTGCTGGTTTTGGCACGCACTCACAAAAAGGTTGCCCACCCTGCTCTATACACACTAGGAAATAACTTTTTTATTTATTTGCACTGTGCTAAATATGAGAATGTGTTAAACAATGTGCCATTTTGTATTTGAAAGCTTTTTCCAGTGGTTTTGCCTTTTGAAATTGCTTCAATAGTACACTGCATTGCTCTCTTTGACATGATCCAGTAACTTTAAAGGCAGTATTATGGTAGACAAATATTGAGGTGTTAAACAATCCATGCAAACTTGAGCAGAAAGTTAAGAAATTTAAGTTAATAAATCAACAGAATAAGGCAAGGAGATATGTGTGCAAAAACTATGGTATATTTACACAATGGAGTACTACGCAGCTATAAAAAAGAAGGAACTCTTACCATTTGCAACAGCATGGATGGAACTGGAGAGTATTATCCTAAGCGAAATAAGCCAGTCAGAGAAAGACAAGTATCACATGATCTCACTCATATGTAGAATCTAATGAACAAAATAAAATGGTGAACAGTATAGATCCAGAGACATAGAAGCATGAAACAACCTCAGAGGGAAGGAAAGGGAGGGCGGATGGGTGGGAAGGGATCACCCAATGAACTTGTATGCATATATATGCATAACCCGGGGACACAGACAGTGGGGTGGCAAAGGCCTAGGGTGGGGGTTAGGGGCAGGCTAGAAGAGGTCAATGGGGGAAATAAGGGGACATATATATTACTTTCAAGAATAAAGATTTTTTAAAAATTAAAAAAAGACTCAGTGAAAGAGAGAACAATGTTTTAACCAAAGGGTAGAAGAAATAGAAAACAAAGAACACAGTGTGGTTCCATTTACATGAACTTCTAGATCTGGCAAAAATAATCTACAGCAATAGAAGGTGGTTGCCTGGAGTTGGGAGGGGAGTAGGAGGATGAAAACATTCTATCCTCCTGGCATGGCATTTACACAGGTGTGTATACCTTTATCAAAACTGATCAAACTATATATTTAAACTATGTACATTTTATTATAATAAAATTATACTTCATTAATATACAGTTTTTAAAAATCAAAGTAGGCAGTAAAGGGTACCATTAGGTTTGAATGTGGTGATTTTTAAAAATATTTATTTTTATTGATTTCAGAGAGGAAGGGAGAGGGAGGGAGAGATAGAAACATCAATGATGAAAGAGAATCATTGATTGGCTGCCTCCTGGACACCCCCTACTGGGGATTGAGCCCACAATTCGGGCATGTGCCCTGACCAGGAATCAAATCGTGACCTCCTGGTTCATAGGTCAATGCTCAACCACTGAGCAACACTGGCTGGGCAGAATGTGGTGACAGTTTAATCCTGAATGAAAGATTACTCTCTTCTTTTTAAACATTGAATATCCATGTCATGCCAAAGAAGCACATTAAGTTCTTTTGTAATGCTAGCATTTATTCCTTCTACTCAGGATTTAGTATTGCCATTTTACTGATGACTTTTAGCCACAGTAAGATAGGCATTTCTGTGGTAGATATTCCATTTTAAATGCCTGTTCTTTTCCTAGTGTTTCAACTGAGGAAAAATGAAGCAGGAAACTTATCAATTACATCTTCACAGGGATCTTAATGACTTTTAAAGCACAATTTTGAATTGAAAGTACTATTTTATAATATCCTTCCTTAGGGAAGGCTAATAGCAAAATAAATAAGTTGTGTAGAAAAAGTAGAATAAAATTTGCCTTGAACAATCACAAAATTACCCTTAATGTCACTTTATAAATCAGTTATAAGTACAATCAGAGGTAATAGGATTGCACAATTGAAAAATATTTTATGCACTACTTTTATAGGAAGATATTATATAACGTTTGAATTAAGGTATAGAGCCAGGTTGTGGTCAGGAGTATTTCTCTTTCCTTCTAGAGTCACTGACCTGCAAAGGGAAAAAAAAAATCTATTGAAATCATGTGGGAACTTAAAAATAACAGTTTGGTAAGATGGATAAAAACTTGAAATGACAGAAAGTTGATAATAAAATATATCTTAGATTTATGTATAAATAGCTGAGAAAAAAAAGACTGGAAAGGGAGACCATATGATAGAGGCAAAATATTAATATTAAAATGTTAATGGTTTTGGGGGAAGGGCAAAGCAAGTGGGGCTAAAGAAAGAGACATAAATTAAGAAAATATATCATTTCACCTAGACTTTTTCAAAATTAATTAGAAATGTACAATTTTAGAAATGTGCAGTAAAATTTTAGAAACATTAGAAAATGTATTTTCAGTTGATGTCTTATAAAGAAAAATTTTAAATTATAAGATTGCTTGCTTTTTAATGAAAGAGCAGAAATGCTTCATTAGAAGATATCTCAATCCTCCCCCAAGGGGTGGGGGTGTGTGCAATAAATAAATCCTTCATGAATAAATGGTGTATCAATCCTAGTTCACATTTGTTCTGACTGCAATGTCACAGATAACCACTAGGGGGAGGTAATTCCACCGGCAGCTGTTCTCTGGCCACAAACGTTTTATTTCCTGGAAGGGTACTTGTACAATTAGGTAAAATTAAGTGGGAGCTACAGCAAGTAGAATGGGTCACTATTGTGTATTGAAATGATGTCATGCTTGACTGTAATTCTACCTGTAATTTTTACTGTACAGACTAATAACTTGGCCACCAGCTTCTTCAATGAACATAGAGTTTCATCATTGCTCAATGATTGCTATTTTATACCTCTGCTTCTTTAAACATGCTAGGTAGAACCAGTTTTATGTATTTTTCATGAAGAAATTATTTTTATTTGCTATAGGTCTCCTACCATTTCATTAAAATAGAGGATTGATATGATAATATGTTCTCACATATTTATTTCAATAAATCTTTGTATCATTTGGAGCTGTAAGAGAGACATGAAAATACTAGTTCAAATGTATAATATTAAATGTATTTTCTGAAATTTAGATTAAAGTTGCAAGACTTTTACCCAAGTGGGTTTTCACTAATTTGAAGTCAGAACTTATTTTTATGTATTGTCATAAGGAATGAAAAACACAAAGATTTGTTGTTATAATTCATTGTATGGATAATCTATTGTTGGATGATTAAAGGAGTAGTTGCATTAAAATATTTAAATGTAGCTTTAGAATTTATTACTTAACTTTTTCTATTGTACTTCAAATTATGGTAACATAACTTTGTGAGCTAATAAAATATTTCAATGTCTTCAAAAACTTGATAATAATTCCTATGTATTTTTCATAACTCTAATGGCTGCTAATCACTTCATTTTACTTACTTGGATGAATGGAAGAATTCGCTTTTTAGGGGAGGAAAAACTTTTTCTCTACCCTCTTGGGTTCTGTAACTGAGCTAGGCAAATTAAACTGACAAAAGAGATTAACTGGTGATAAATGTTTGTTTCATATGTATATGGGAGTCAAAAAACAAAGGAGCTGGACTGTTTAGTTGTTCAAATTAAAAGCTTATATACATATCTACTTTAGTGGTGAGGGGATGGGGAGTGAGGAAAGTTTTCCATAGGAAAAACAAATAGGTTTCTTTAGGAAAGACAAATAGGTTTTTAAAAGAACAAACAGGAGGTAAGGTTTGTCTGTACAGCTATGACCTGCCATCCTGTCTCCTTCAGAGCTATAACATTCCCCTGGAGAAGGGATTTATGGTAACCTCATTTTCCAGAAGTTGTTGTTTCAACTTAAAATAATCTTTATACCAACTCTGCGGCTCTGAGTGGGTTCCCACAGCTTTATATTTTGAGAAAATCTTTGTATTTAAAACTTTTTGGTTATGTTTTATGTGCTTTGGGAAACATTTTATGATGAACACATGTTAAATATTAATGTGGTTACACCTAATTTATTTTTCCTACTGCATGAATGTCGCTGGCTAATATGTTTTGTTTTCACATCCCCAAATGTATAATGTCAATAGACACTTTAAAAATAATTGGTACTGAAATGGTGATTCAGATGTTATTTCCCCTTCTAGCTTCTAAAATTGTTTCAATACCTATTGGTAAATACCATTTAAGTACTTCTGGTCTGCAATTATTTTATACAAAATAATGTTTTCTCTTAATATCAGATTTAGAATTTTGCGGATTCTTTTATAATACTTAACTGGTATTTCATTTCCACTTTAACTGAAGGTCTGACACTGACATAAATGAGACTGTCTTTGTTCAGGTACTTATGGTTATCAGCCTCATTACTTTTCAGTTATGCTTTATATGTAAATAGTGTAAATTGTTATCCTAAATAGCACCTTACTGATAGAGTTCTTATTGTATTTTTTTAAATGTTTGCTTTTAGGGTTATCAACCAATCAATATCCACGAGCATCTAAAGGCCAACCATCACCATCCTTCAAAAATAATTGTAAGTATACCCATACACATATCTCAGGACTCCTATTTTGCAATAATATCAACCATTATATTTAAGGTGTTCCTATTATTTTGCTAATATAGACCTACTTTTGAACCAGGAAAACATTTGCCATTAATGATTTACAATATTTGAAGGATATTATTTAATGCAACCTAAAAAATCTCAGGCTCATTTATTACCAAATAATGTGTTAAACAGACACCTTTGACAAAGCATTTAACCACTATCCTGACTTTATATGAAATAAATATAAAATAAGATAGCATAAATAAGAACAATTAAGTTAATGAAGACAAAATGTGAATGTTCAGTTTTCTCCTTCAGAAACAAACTCATATCCAAGATTGGGGCATAGGAAATTCAGCTATTGTTTTCCTATTATAAATTTTAGAAAGCAAAGCTCTTAAAACTACTCTTCATAAATGGTCCTAAAAAATCTCCGGAGTAGTAGGTAAGACTTAGAAAACTGTTTCTCAAAAAGAGGGTATCAAGTTATAAATGCTGAACAACACTGATCCAGAGAACTGACAACTTTGCATTTTGTAGGCTTCCTGAGCATGATATTACAAGTTAGGCAAGGTGGTCAATATCAAATCCCAGATGGCACAGGGAATACTTAATTAAATCCCTGAAAGTTCTTAGAGTCATCCTATCTAATAAAAGAGTAATATACAAATTTACCATCTCTCCAACACAAAAGATGGCTGCCCCCATGTGGTCAAAGATGGCCACCACAGATGGCCAGCAGGGGAGGGCAGTTGGGAGGGACCAGGCCTGAAAGGGAGGGTAGTTGGGGGTGACCAGGGCTGCAGGGATGGGCAGTTGGGGGCAACCAGGCTGGCAGGGGAGGGCAGTTGGGGGCAACCAGGCTGACAGTGGAGGGCAGTTAGGGATGACCAGGCCTGCAGGGAGGGCAATTGGGGGCAACATCAGGCTTGCAGGGGAGAGCAATTGGGGGCGACCATGCCTGCAGGGGAGGACAGCTGGGGGCAACCAGGCTGGCAGGGGAGGGCAGTTGGGGGCAACCAGGCTGACAGTGGAGGGCAGTTAGGGATGACCAGGCCTGCAGGGAGGGCAATTGGGGGCGACCAGGCCTGTAAGGGAGCGTAGTTAGGGGAAAGCAGGCCAGCAGGGGAGAGCAGTTAGGGGTGACTGGGCCAGCAGGGAAGGGCAGTTAGGGGTGACCAGGTTGGCAGAGGAGTGCTGTTAGGACAATCGGGCCGGCAGGGGAGCAGTTAGGCATCAATCAAGCTGGCAGGGGAATGGTTAGGGGGTGATCAGGCTGGAAGGCAGAAGCAGTTAGGGGCAATCAGGCATGCAGGCGAATGGTTGGGAGACAGCAATCCTGCACTGTGAGAGGGATGTCCGACTGCCCTTTTAGGCCTGATCTTGGTTGGCAGTCGGACATCCCTTGAGGGGTCTCAGATTGGAGAGGGTGCAGGCTGGGCTGAGGGACACACCCCCTCGCATGAATTTCATGCACTGGGCCTCCAGTATACATATATTTAATACTACAAAAATGTTTTTAGAATGATACTGCTGAGAAAAGAACTGATAAGATCATAGAGGTTAATTTATTTTGACAGTAAAATTTTAAGAGGCTTTTTTAGTATAAAATTACTATATACTCATTATATAAAAGATTAAACAATCAAAAATAAAGGAGAAAGTGGAAGTCTATCAAAATTGGAGAGAGGTTAGGGACGGAATAGACTTGGGAATGTCTGTTATACACATTATTAATGATTAAAAAATAAAAGAAAAAAGTGATTTTACATCAAGACAGTTGCATTAAAATCGCTGCATTATAATATAGCCATTATAATGTTAGGATGGCCAGCATCAAATTGCCCTGCTATGTTGTTTATTGACTCACCATTTAAGATGATGACAAAGGTTACACTTCCTTTGTTTAATATGTATTGAAAAAGTTCATGATGTTATAGGCAGCTTTCCATGGAGGAAAAAATGAAATTCAGAAAGTGTAAAATGTACAATTTTAAAGAGCCCCAGTAGCTGTTCTGAGCATGCACAGGAAGCCACTCATTGTAAGTCTGTGAAGATCTCAGTTTGCCTGCAGATGTTTTCACTGCATTTGTGAAACAAGTTAACGTGGACATGAAGGTAAGTTCACACTCTCCGGCTTTCAACAGTGTTCATACAAGGCCATCCCACTTATATCAGTGGCATAGTAATCCCTGCCTCGTAGGAAAAACCAAAGTCAGCTTTAGTAGAATATGAAAACCAATTTCCTCTTTAGTATCTTCCTTTCAGCACTATCTATCCTTACCATATTGTCTCCATAACGATTGCTCCTCGCTCTTCTCCCAGGCCTGTGCACCCCTCTTTACACACAGGCCTGTTGACACCTTGCTCTTACCCACCTGCTAATCGGAGAATATTTGATACACAAATTCATCCCAACGGGGCAAATACCTAACAAGCCTATCCCATCCAGAGAGAGACACATTTTAACATTGAAAATGTGGCTCCAGCCATTGAATTCCCTGATGGGCTGAAAGGAAAAATATGCCCCAAATCTCATCATGTAAGTTTGTAAGGCTGTTCTTTCTTCACTTCTCCACAAGGCTGGCATCTCCAGGGTGTTTTAGTGACATGAAAAATTTACGCACAGAGTATACTTAATGTAAATGTTAGAAATTGGTTATTAATGGTGAATAATTACTAATGGCATTGAATGTGTTCATTTTCACTCTACCAAGAGCTTTATTATAATGGCTATACGTCTACAACCTGAAATTCTTCAAGTGTTTAAAATGTGGGTTCCTGGTGATTTCTGTGGCTATTTTAAACTATGTAAGATTCCATTGATCGTAAAAAAGAAAAGTCAGTTGACCTGATTGGTTTTTAGCTATCACTCAAACTTAGTAATACCTTTCCTTAAGCCCTAACGTTACCTATGCTACTATGATATATATATATAGTGAGTGATATCCCCACAAAGTAATAACTAAGGTAATGCATTCACTGTCTCCTGTGAAAATGATCACTTGGACAGCTGTGCTCCTCCTGAGCTGGATAAGGTTTGTAATATCAGTAAGTATTAAAGGTAAATGTTATTTTTTTCCCTGTAAAATCCTATTTAAAGCTTCTTCACAGAGAAGACTGATGTAATGAAGAAATGTTGAACATACATCGCCTTTACAATGCCATGGCGGGATTTATACTTGTCACTCTCTTAACACCTATATTAACAAAATTTTATCTTTCTATCTTTTATTTATGTGGCTTTGTGTTACTACAAATAAATACAGCTTTACTTAACAGGATTTTGGGTCAATATGAGTTCTCTGATATATACCTGAGTATATCAGAGTTCTTTAGGTTACTAAATTAGTTTTAGACATAGATGCTAATGGAACTCAAATATTACCTACATTGATAGACTTTTCCCTTATTTCACTTTGCAGTGCATTTTAGTTCATTTCTTTCTTCACAAATATTTTAATTTCTTGGTTTTAATTAAAAGTAAATATATTTTATTGCTGTTCAACTCTTTGTTTGGTTAAAGTAAATAATACGTAATCAAAGCTCCCAAAAGGTATACAGAATTTGTGTTAAGTAGTATCATACTTAATATCATAGTGTGTTCTGTGCAGAGTATATGCCTTTTATATCACCTATAGGAACTAACAATGTCTTGCAAATAATACATATTTAATAACATATTCAATATTAGTTCAATAAAACTATGAACTAAAAATGATAAAATAATTGCACCTCTAGAAGAAAGGTACCCAGTCTGGCATGCTTTTTAGTAAATGAATATATATACACAGATTTAAAGCATAGAAAAATCTGAAACTTAATAAGATAATTTCACATTTCTCATTTTTTTTACTCTTATTAATATTCTAAAAATTTAAGTGGTCCTCTATAATAATCAATTGAACTCTAAAACATGGCATTAACTAAGTACCTAATGACATTTTTATTGGATTCAATAATCTAATTGAGCCAACTAATTTCTTGAAAACTATGTGCTGTACATATCTTTCACTCTGAGTAGTTTGCACCAAAATCCAACAAGGTCGACAATATAGTTTGGAAGGCATGCATTCTAAAATAGTTCAACTTTTCAAAATAAGTGAAAATTACTTTATTTTGGAAAGGTAAGTAGTCAAATAGCTACAAAGTAGAGTTACGTGTCCATCCATACTAGATAACAGTAAAATAATTGTCTGTGTATGCTTTTTGTTTTTAACCATATGCCTTTCAAAAATATGCTTGTACTTTTAAATTATACTTTTCAAAGCATTTATATCGCTTTAAATATAAAATATGGGTATGACTTAAGTAACTGCAGCAAGTAAATCAGCACGTCGTATAGTGGATATCATGATCAAAGAGTTTATGATATAAACAATACTGTTTTTGTTTCACTCTTTAAAAATATTTATTAGTCTTACGTTTAGTACATATTGCTCTAATTAAAAAAAAAAAAAACAATAGCCCAGCCCCAGCTGATGTGGCTTGGTTGGTTGGACCGTCCCCCAGTACACTGAAAGGTCACGGGTTTAGTTCCTGGTCAGGCCACATGCTTAGGTTGCAGTTTCGATCTCTGGTCGGGCATGTACAGGAGGCAACCTATCGATATTTCATTCTCATATCAATATTTCCCTCTGTCTGTCCGTCTCTCTCTTCCCCTCTCTCTCTCAAAAAAATCAACGAATATGTCCTTAGGTCAGAATAAAAAAATAGCCCATATCTTTTAAATAACATACAGATATTTTAATGGCTTGGAAAATTTTACATGTTGTGTGAAATGAATATTTCCCTATTCTATCTCATTTCATTCTTATTTAAAAATTATTTTCCCCTATCAAAAATAAATATATGGCTCAGACAAGTAATACATTGCATATATGAGCTTGCTAAAATGGCTTTATGAATTATTCCGTCTTTGTACATTTAGGTAGGGTTGTTTATTTAGCTTCCTCAAAACTATCTTTACTTATATCTTTAGA